CCAACCCATTAGCCCGAGGAGAGCGAACGGGAGCAAGAAGCTCCTGGTTAGGCCGGGAAGGAGGGCGAGAGGAGCCGAAGCAGCGCCCCTCTCCTGCACTCCCGAACGCGCCCCCGCCCCTGCGCACGCCCAGCCACCCTTCTGCCCTCGCAGTCCTTCCTCGCTTGCTAAGGTTGGCGCACGCTGCAGCGATCAGTCGGGGCATCGTCAGGTTATTAAATTATTTCCCAATCAGCACGGTTCTTTCTAGCAGGCTTGAGTCATTCTCATTTCTGAAGTTTGTGGCGTGTTCTCAGGGAGGGAGAGAAGGGGGGAAAGAGAGGAGGAGAAATGGTGCCCTTTGTGGCGCTTAGCGAGGACGACCACAGGTAAAGCGCCCAGCCACCGGCGAAGAAATGGAGGACCAGCTTTGCCTGGGGAGCGAGCGTGGCTCCCTTGTACTTCCCTTGAGCTTCGGCTGAAGGACACTTCCGTTAGCAACAGCCCGTTTCCACGTTGGTGCAAACTATTTGAGACTTTGTCAAAGTTTGTTTTGTGGAAGGCAGCTCCTTTAGCTAGGAGCTCAATGGGCACCCACCAGAAGCGTAGAAAGTGCCCCCCTTCCTTCCCAGCTCTTTTCAGGAAAAACGTGAATAGTTGTTGTCAAAGTGGACAAGGCTGAAAAAAAAGGGGTCCAAAAAGAAAAGGGGGAAAAAAAGCCTTGAAAAGTCTTGGAAATGGGTAGGTTTTGCAGGTGTAGAATGAAGTTAATAACCATGCACAGTGTGCGCTCCCCCAGTGCGGAGAGTGTGACAGGGACAGCTGGCTCCGTTTTCCCTGTGAAAACCCCCCCTTGGTGGACCATACACAACGACAGTGACCTTTCTGCAGGGGAACCAGAGCCGACCCTTTGACTGAATTAGTCACAAAGACGTCTTGCTATGACTTTTGTTCCTCGCCAAAGCCAAGAAATATTGCGTTAAATATGAGGAGGATTGTCCCCAGCTTTCTCGTGCTCCTGCAGGAAATATGGCCAGCCTGATTTAAGGGGGCTCGTTTCTCTTCGCCGAGGCCTCCCTCTCCCCCCCCGCCCTTCCACCCCAAGACCTGGGGATGTGGAGGCGCACTTTTTACAGCGTGCCTCCTTCCAAAGAGGAGCGTTGACTCTGGGTGTAACAGCGGCGAATTTATCAATCTTTTCAGAATCTGACAATACTTGGAAATACATCATTGTCACTGGGGTGGTTTGATAGATTAGCTGGAGGCGCCGAGCCTTTCCAAGGTCAAGTTGAAGATTCTCATTCGGTGTTTAACTGAAGTTTGTTACAGGGCCAAACAATGGCTGCCTGTTAACTTGCCCGTTGTTCTGGAGAGGAATCCCCTTAAACGCTTTTTTTACTGGTATCTCTTTGGGGCAAGGAGAAGTGCAATTTTCCTATTCCGGTTTTCTTCTCCCTTTATGCTTTTCCATAAGAGTAGATGATAATTAAGCCAAATGTAAAAATCGAGAAACATTCGTGGGGACTAGGGTGCACTTTTGTCCTTCTGCAAGGTGCCCACTTTTTTGCTTTCGTTTCTCAATGCAGTCAGTGGTTTTCTCTCCTGCATGTTTTAATTCTTTCTCTTTTTTCACCAGTTGGAATCCCAAAGGCTTATTTGTGGCAGGACAGCAGCGGATAGAAACTGTTGCCAAAGACTTCCTTTTTTAAGTAGCCTTGAACCTGTTGTCAAAGGACTCTTTGAACTTCCCTTTGCTGTGCTAAATATTTTCTTTTGCCTCTTTACAGACGTCTGCGCTAGTCTGGGTTGCACCCGCCGTTTCCTCTCTCTTTCGCTCTGAGATGATTGATATTTGTTATTCAGCCCAACTTTTATTTACCTTGCAAAAAATGTTCGAGGGTTCCGATGTGATAAATTGCAGATATGCAAATCACATTGAATGGACTTGTAAGTGTGTCTCGCTAGAGCTGAATGAGGCCTTGCAAGCCGGTCTGTGCGCGCTCAGGACCCCCGGGAGCTGATCAAAGCACCCATTCTCTTTCATCCCCGGTATTCTCTTCCAAACTATTTCGATACAATATGTTTCCATGATGCTTGGGACACAGGACTCATTACAACCTAGCTAGTTTTGCCGACCTCTTTGTTCAGAGGCAGAAAGTTAAAGAGAAAAAAAAAAGGGAAAGGAGGGGGAGGGAGAGAGAGAGACTCTGCTAGTTGCCAGCTTTCTGAAATGCTAAAGCATGCATCATTTTTCACTGGATCTCTTCTTCATATCTTCAAAAGAGAAACTATGAAGCCAGCTTGGCTTTTCTAGCATTAATTACACTGCTGTCCAGGCATTTCTCTGCAGGGTGGGTTTTTTGTTTTTGCAAGATAACTTCTTATTTTTCTTAACTATGAATGCATTTTTATCAATATGGGGGAAATGAGAATGAATGTTTCCTATTTCTATTGTTCACTTTCTTATTTAAACATTGGGGGTGTAGAAATCTGTAACCCAATATAACAGTACAGAATTTCAAAAATAAACACCACACACACACACATTACACCAAACTTAATTCCAAAATTAGTTTAAAGCAGATTAGCTAATATTAATTTTAGAAGCAGAACTGGGATGAAACTGAAAAAACTTAGCTAAAAATTGCAGCAATTCCAAGCCACCCCTCCCCCAAATTTGTTGCAGCGCTCAAGCCTCCTCCAGTAGAGTAGAACAGAAATGTCAGTAAGGAAGTTTTGGTCCATAGATGCAATTTTGTTCTTGATAGGGTGGTAAGGCAAAAGATAATTTGCAAATATGGGACCAACATGGCAAAACTCAAACACTCCAGATAAATTTTCAGTTCAACTGACACCTGTTCAACCATAATCTTTTCAATGGGTGAATTCAGCATAAAAGGCTGCAAAGATCCCATCAGTTACTGACTGGCAACAAAGAGATATAGAAAACTCTAGCTCTCTGTGGCCATCTAATGGTTGCCTGGATTTCTGCAGCCCTGATGTGATAACCCTAAGCGAAGGTGACTGGTGATTAACACAGGAGTGAGTGGGACTTCCAAATGAATCAACTGAACCTAGATGTGATTAAAGAGAGTCTGAAAAGCAGAAAGACCACCTAGACTGGAGTCTTTGCAGCTTGATGTTGTAGGTTCTCACAACTGGCAGTTCACATTACATTTGAGAAATGAGGAAGCAGAGAAAGAGAAGAGGCTGTAGGTAAGAAGGGAAAGTCTGAATTCCCTTCCCTGGCTCATTCTTTCACTTAGATTGCCAGTTGTTTGAATGAGGACCTAGAAGCCTTGGATTTAATGCTGAGCAAAGTCAGAATCTAGGTGTGCTTTGATGGCCCTGCAGCGGAACAACCACATGTTTGGGCAGCTTTGCTGCTGGTGCCTCTCAAAGGAAACCCATCAGCTCTATTTCTCTGATAGGAACTGCGACGAGCGAGCGCATTTGTTTCTGGGTTGATTTGTTGATGGAAAATGGCTGGCAGCCAGTTCTGGGAAAGATTCCAGCCCTGACTCCGATTAACCCTCTCTGGTGAAACTCTGCTGGAAACCAACTCACCAGCCATTGCCATTAATCTACTTACTAATTAAGCCAATTCATTTCTAAAGGAGGAAAAATGCCTTTCTTTGGCCCAAGTAATGGGAGGAAATTTGAAAGAAGCGCCAAACTGTGTAACTGTAATTCAGGCAGGGGATTGCTAAAACAAGCTTGTTGATATATAGCAGGAGATTGAAACCAAGTTTCTAGGGCAACAATCCTTTGGAAACGCCTCTGGCACACAGAGTAAAAGGAGCTGAGCTGAAGCCTGAAGAATGGTAGGGGCTTGCAGTGGGCCATTGTGTGAAGAGGGTGTGGGGGAAACTCCGTCACCCCCCAACTGAGTTTCTGCTCATTTCACTCCTGCATCTTGTCTGGTTGCCATCAGCTTCATTCTAATTGGGCACTCACAAAGAATTTGGAGCTTCAAGCCCAAACAAGACAAACATTTTGTGACCTTGGTGGAACTGGGCTATGCGTGTAAAATCAATGACCAATCAATGCCCAAGAGGCAGTCACTTGTCCAAGGAACTGTACCTCTGTTTTGCTCAGCAACTCTTACCCTTCTTCTTTCACTTGCATAACTGTGTTTGTAGGTATGTAGTTACAGCTCAGAATCAAGAGGCATTCTTGGACTTCACCACTTTGCAAGCTTCAGAGCACAAGCAGTCTTTACATTGGAAAGAAATGACCAGCCAAACCACCCCACAATTTAAAAAGCTTTGGGTGGAGGTTAAATACTAAAACCTAAACCAGCTTTCCCCAAGCTGGTGCCCTAGGGATATGCTGGGAAGGGAATATAACTCCCAGAATATTCAGTCATCACACCCAATTGCCAAGATCTCCAGCTGGAAATTCTGGAAGCTTAAATCCCAACCCATCTAAAGAGCGACAGGTTGGTGAAATCTGACCGACAAGCTTAAAATAAATTAGAAAGTCAATATCAGCTGTCCTTTGCAAGGATTGCTAAAGCAAGACAAAAGGCATCAGAAAACAAACCCTGACTGGGTTCACCTGACACATTAATCAAAATGAAGCCCCATTATGCTTTAGTATATTGCCTGAATCTGCCGCAGATTACGTAGCAAAGTGTGGAGTAATACAGTGTGTGAATCTAAGCCCTACGTGGTAAAAAAAAAAAAAAAATAGGCCAGGAGCAATACTGTGTGAACATGCTGAATCTCGGACCATCTCAACATCATGTCTTAGGCCAACATATCTTGATGGGTAACTAAATGTGTGTATTTAAAACAGACTGGACAAAACTCTTTTATCTGAAAAGTTCCCCAGTTTGCCCTATTTTAGAGTCATCAAAACTATTTAAATAAAAGGTCATTTTATTTTGATAGTAGAATGATGGATTGACAGAGAGCAGGTTAGATTTTACATCCCACAAAATCTGCATTCAGAGAATTCAAGCTCAGTTTAAGAACTAAATCTTTATTGTGTTTTAATGGTAAGATGTTGCAGAACAATGGTTTAGAGAGATATGGCCCTGAGCTTCTTTATTTAAGGCCCTTTGTTGTTTAAATCAGGAAAAACACTCCAGAGCCCCTCAACAGAAGCAAAGGAAGTGCTCCAGAAATATCTTGATCCACTTCAACCATTGTGACACTTGGGCAGGAAATGCCCAGGCACTCTCAGGAGCAGTGGCTTCCCATTTGGCCAATTTGCTTTGAGTTCCTTCTAGGCATTAGTAGCAAAACGGAAAGCGTTCAACCTTTTTAATGCAGACAAATGTTCCAGATATGGCAGTGGTCTCCAGCCCACATCAGTGTACAGGAGGCATAAGAGGTGAAGACAGACTCTTTGATTCTTCAAGCTGTTTCCCATCTGCGAAAGAAAGAAAGAGAGAGAGAGAGAGAAAGAATTGAATCTGTACTCTACCCAGATCTGTTTGGTGGGAAGCATGGTAAATACGGTATCCTGGCTTGGTCATTGGGCTAATGGATTACAGAAGGGTAGAGAACAATATTTCCATAGAAACATTTGTGGCTGTAGCATGTTATGCAAACCTAACCTGTGTAATGAAGTTATGTTTCAATATATCATGTGGACCAGAAAATTGGGTTATGTCATGAAAATACAGACTATGTTTGCAGGCTTTGGTTTTAGTTTAATGTTTTTAATGTTTTTATGAATCCAGCCAATAAAGTTTTAAGCCATGCTTTATGGCTACTTTCATTGATTATGGCTAACATTAAACAGTGGGTAAATAAATCATGGCTTTGTGTCACAGTAAAAGAAATCATACATAGGGGTTGGAGCCACATGATCCACTATTACAAAGAATTATCTCTTCCTGATCAAAATCTAACTGCTGCATTAAATTTAGTGGGCCAATGTATGAACAAGAGACTACTTTATTAAATTCCCAAGGAGGACAACTCTGGTCAAGTAGATTTAGTCCACCCAACGTTTGCCACCATAATAGCATTTGGGGTGCAAAAGAGTCTCTTTTATTTTGAAAAGAGGGTAGCATCTACTAGATGCTATTTTCACTTTTATGCAACATGTCTTGTCCATAAGCGAAGACTGTGAAGATTCCTGGGATGGAAAAAGTCCCCCTCATCAGCATACTCCATGGCCCATTGATGGTCTACTCTAGTATAGCCATGGTACAATCTGTCTGTTCTTAGAGAATAGTTTCTTTACTATTTCTAAACATTTGAGTACTGTATCAGTTTGGTTTGAATTTTATGCTACTTTAATTAAAAACAGGCTGCAATTCCATACACATTCATGAGGAAATTTATTTGAGATTGTTAAAAATGGATTGCACATCTGTAGCACATTTGCTATGTTTACATGACACATGGAAATAAAAATGACTCCATGACATTTTAGCCTAATGTGTGGGGTAAACCCAGCATGAACATGGCTCAGTATGTTGTGTAAACTCAGAAAACTGGGTTAACTGAGTAAACCATGTTTAAGTTAATCACAATATATTGTGTAACCACAGCCCAACGACTTGTAGCGATAGGCCAAAACATTTGCAGGTACATGTAAATTTAGCAATTAAGGGAATGGGTTCATATGCTGCATTAAACCATAGTTTATCATTCTTTTTTTAAAAAGTCACAATTAGTTGATTCACAACTATGATAAGCCATAGTTATAGATTATAAAACCTGGGATTGCAAACTGTGCTAAACTAAAAACAAACAATTCTCATAATGACTTAGTACAACATGTAAACTTTATTACTAAGAAAGAAGGTTTCTCTGAGTGCCATTATTTTGACCAGTGAATGCAAATAATTTAGAAAGAAGGAGAGATGACTTCACTGGATGACTAGTAATAAAGAACGAGTCAGGATTTATGTTAATTCTAAAACTAATTTGGCAGTAAAGCACACACACACACACATTTACTGCTCGGACCTGCAGTGGCTCCCTGTAAATATGTCATGGGTATCATCTGTATTAGATTTTTTATCTCACCTTTATTATTTTTATAAATAACTCAAGGCGGCAAACATACCTAATACTCCTTTCCCCACAACAACAACCCTGTGAAGTGGGTTGGGCTGAGAGAGAGTACCTGACCCAAAGTCACCAGCCAGCTTTCATGCCTAAGGCAGGGCTAGAGCTCACAATCTCCTGCTTTCTAGCTTGGAGCCTTAACCACTAGACCAAACTGGCCCTTTTTTGCAAGATCATGCACAATTTCTTGCAAAGCCTAGGATCAAACCAGCAGTCTTCAGATCTACAGTAACATTCTCCAAGATGAGCTACAGTACTTTGGCTTTTCTCATTGGAGAAAAGTTTTTCTCATTGGAGGTTTGAAACTCATTAATAGACCACCCTTCTTATACTTACTAAACTACTGGCAGAAAGGCAAATACAACTACCTTGAATCTTGAGTTAGCACTACTTCTCTAATGCAAGGTTTATTAATGCTTTTAATGGCTTTTAAGCATGCAGTAATTTCCCTGGTAGTGTAGTTCTATTCTGAAAACATTGTGTGTTA